CCTCGATACTAACTCTGGTTCCAGAAATACAGCCAGTGTTGAATCAGTGCCCCTTGACTCCTCCAGCAGGCTCTGCCAGCACACCAGCCCAAGGCACACAGCCTCCAGTGCCCAGCTTTGCTTCACACCCAGTGCCACTGCCTACACCAGCCGTGGGGCCTAGGCCACCCCTTCCTGAACTGTAAAACGGAGCCCTCTTTGGCCACCCGCCCACCCTCCCTCTTGGTGACACAGTGGGCTGAGCGAGGGACTGAACCCTTTACAGCTGATGCAAGGCTGCCCGTAGTTTGAACCTGTGTATCTGCAGAATACCGGGTTTGATTTGTGATGTCATCTCAGACCCTGGGGTAGGGGTGCGTGTAGGAGAGACACCTCCACCCCCTGGGGAAACGCTCCCCTTGCAGGTTTGACTTTCTGAAGTCCAGAAAGTTGACAGTCACGATAGGAGTAGAGGCAGGTGACACGGAGTGGTCAGACTCCGGCCTGGGGGGATAGGGATATAACAGTGAGGGGCTGGTCCCTGGCGTCCAGACATGATCCTTCTGTTTACTTTGTTTCTGGGAGCTGGGAGAAGTAAAGGCCATGTTTGTTTTGGGCAGATGTGTTCTGAATGTCCAACACTGCCGGCCACGCTCCCAGTGTTACCTCTGTTCGTCCACGTGGCACCCTGGAGTGATGCAAGGTCCTCCTCCCTTTGCTGCGGCCCCGGGTGACTTGGGATCTAGGGGCACCTCCTTTTCTCCCCAGCCAAGGGGGCCCATGGTCACACCCAGTTCTAGCCGCTGGCTAGGACGTCCCAGCCCCCAGAATGTCCTTGCATGAGTGAAGCTGTGGCCTGTGGGGGGCATGACTTTCATGCCTGCCCATGGGCTATGGTGGGAAGCACTCGGCAGATGACGGCCTTACTGAGCTCTCCACACAAACCATCTCTTCACTCCACAGCGAGGTCAGCCGGGGCTGGAGAGCCGGGCCGTGGATCCTGGTGTGCCGACACCCAGGCGCTCCATGCCTCCCTCACAGGGCCTCTGTGTCTGGTGTGCGGACCCCGTAGTGGCCCCCTACCGCCTTTCTGCATGGCCTCTGTGTCTGGTGTGTGGACCCCGTGGGGGCCCTGCAGTCAGCCCTTTTGGAGTCTCCACCGAACCTTGGGTTCTGGAGGGGCCTTGTGGCTGGCGGCTGGTCCTGCCCTGGGCTGCCTTTGTGTCCTTGCTGGCCGTTGAGGGTGGGGGAAGCAGGAGCGCCTCGTTCCGTAACTGCCCAGCGTCCTCTTGCTGTGTGGCCGCCTGCAGGCTGAGGAGCCTGGGGTAGGAAGCCCAGGGTCTTGATCCTAGGCTGTGCCTCCACTGCCCACTGCTGAGTGCTTTGTGTCCCAAAGCCTCTGCGCTCAAGTGGCACTCCGGAGGTAAAGGAGGAAGGGGCCTCAGCTTAGTCGTCTGTACATGTGCGCGATCATTCTGACCTTGCAGGTTTGTTGTGGGGATTGCGGGGGTCTCGGCATCAGTGAGCTGAAGGGTTTGTGGCCCTGGCCGACCACCTGTGCTGTTTGTGGTGTTTTCTCCACTGTCTGCTCCCAGCCCACCTCACCCCGCAGAGGAGCCGCCGACGTCTGGGCCAGAGGGCGGAGGTGGGGTGAGCGTGGTGTGAAAGCACCTGGCTGTCCTGCTTGTGCGTCCTCTGGGGTGCTCAGAGGCTGGGGTAGGGTGATCCCACCACCGTCCTTCTCTTGTTGGAACCTCCACGTCGATTCCTTAGTCCATCACTGATTTTCAGCTGGCCTGGCCGGTGTCTGTTTCATTGTAATTTCTTTGTGGAAGCCTCAGTTGCCTTTCACATCTCGGGATGGGGCCCCAAGCTCCCCGCACAGACGTGGAAGGTGCGTGGCTTTGGTCGGGAAGCTGTTTGCTTCATCTCCTTTCTGCGCAGACGTGGAAGGTTCGTGGCTCTGGTCGGGAAGCTGTTTGCCTCGTCTCCTTTCCGCCGCCCTAGGGGAGGTCTTTCAAGGTGGTCTGCAGGTCGCCCTGGTTCTTTCCAGCGTCCGTGTGGGGCTCCCTCACACAGATGCCTTCGGGTTTCTTCATCTTCTCTATCTGGACGGTGGAGACACCGAGGGTGGCAGAGCCAGGCGCTGGCTGAGGTTTTTGTCTGTCCACCCACTGCACTTGGAGGGAAGGCGTCTGCGGACGGGACTGGCCTTCAGCCCCAGAGGGGATGATGTGGTGTGAACGTGCTGTGGACGGGGACCTGAGGCACTGAGCCCGTCTCAGCCGTCCCTCCCCCCAGGACCCTGGGAGTCGCACACTCTCCCACAGGGAGGGTCACCCTGGGCTCTCACCTGACTCGTCTTCTGGTCTCGTCTTGCCCGGCGTGGTCCTTACCAGGTGGTGGGTCTCAGTACCTGGTAGCGGAGAGGGCTTGAAGGGGATGCCACCCCTTTGCCCTCTGGCTGCCCTCCCTCCCCGCCCCTCCCACTGGCTGGTGCCAGGCTGCCTGGGGGCTCTGCTTCTGTGCTGAGGGCTTCTTGGGGAGGCAGGGCCACTTGTCATGGCATCGTGTTGTCCTCAAGTTTTTGCAAAAATCTGAGTGTGTATGGGGTAGGTGTCTCAGAGGGCAGGTTGGTGTTCCAGGAGAGGAGAGGTGAGGTCACCATACCTCGCCACCGGGGGTGGGGCAGTCGCCTGCCAGTGTGTGCCAGGGGTTTTTTACACGGCACCCCTCAGCTTCCAGGTCTTGTTGGGGTCGGTGTGTTTCTGCCAGGTAGCGGAGCTGGAGGCGAGCTGCACCCTCAGGGCCTGTCGTGACCACTGGCATTCAGTGAGCGCATGCTGGCACCAGGCGCAGCCCTAGAGCTTTAACCACATTGGCCGGGATTTCCCTGGCAGCACCAGGAGGGCTCCTGGGCTGGGCCTCGGGCGGCTCTGCAGTGGCTGGTGGGCTTGTGCCAACCAGAGCCCAGGGCGCCCCTCCCTCTGCCTTGCTCAAGCTCACAGTCCATGGCTGGGCGGGGCTGCCTTCCCCACCCAGGACGAGGCCTGCACTCCAGTGTCCGTGGCCAGAGCTGGGCTCCTACTCAGCCTCTGGTTTGGAACAGTGGGCGAGTGGCTGGAAGTGGGTGGCTTGAAGGGCCTCGTCTGGCCAGGCGTTGTGTCCCGATGGCAGCAGAAGCAGGCCCCCACGTTGAGCTGTGACCGTCTATCCTCATGCTTGGAGGAAGCTGGCCTGCAGCCTGGGAGCCTTCGTTTGTCCCATGACCACTCCCACACCCCCAAAGGTCAGTTTCAGCCCCATTTCCTGGCTCCTGGGCCTGTGCAGCAGCAGTGGCTACTGGGAATTTCCCCCCATGACCGACACCTGGGAGCCGACATCTGGGCCCTGGGAGGCGGCAGCAGCACAACCTGGGCCTTCTGTCGGTGCTGCCCGGCAGTCTCAGCGGAGCTGCGTGTGGTGCTTGGTGCCCGTCACTGGCGTGAGCTCTCTCTGTGCCTGACTCCTCCACCCTCAGGAGCCTCATGGGGAAGTGGAAGGACCAGGTCGTGTGGCTGGCCCCAGCGTCTGTGCTGCCTGGGGCCCAGCAGAACGGGTGTTCTGGGAGGTACCTGGAGACCTTGGGAGGGCAAGAGCCTGCTGCTGTCCAGGCATTGAGGGAGGGCTGCAAGTCACAGGAGACAGGACACAGGTCTCAGGACTCGGTCACTCTGGGTCGCCCCAGGCCCCACCAGCCAGGGTGGGGCTGGACTCACTTTCACTCTGAGTCACATGGAGCTCCTGGGAGGTTTTGAGCAGACCAGTGACTTGATCTGACTTGGTTTTAACAGGATCACCCTGCGGTACGGGCTAGGCGGTCCTTGCGGGGCAGAGCAGGGAGCCCTGCTGGGAGGGCTTCATGGAAATCCTAGCAAGTGGTGGTAGCGAGGGGCAGTGCCGCCACCCTCTGGCCTGGGGCAGCAGGAAGAGAGGCGTTTGGGGGACCCCAGGTTTGTGCCCAGCACAGCAGCTCTGTGACTGGGGTGAAGACACAGAAACCGGTGCAGCTGCCCTCCCCACCAGGGTTGCGGCCTGGGGCTGTGAGCAGCGGCTTGGTGAGATGGAGGGGCATGGAGGCACCCACTCACCCCAGGAGGGCGTGGAAGAGGTTGGGTATGAGGGGCTTCCCTGGATGAGACCTTGGCACAGGTGGGCGCTCCTGGAGTTGAGACATGTTCTCTCGTGCGGGCATGCTTGGTGGGTGAGCTGTGTTGCGTGTAGCTTTGAAGCCCTTTCCACTCTGGGGTGGGGTGGGAGGAAGTGAGGTTGCCATGCAGGGTGCTGACAACATTGAACATCCAGCTTGGGGAGGGGCTCCTGGTTTGCATCATTTGCCCATTGCTGGGGTGTAACTGCCAACCGGGGCAGATTTCAGGAGATCAACCAGATGTCAGCCAGCTCACAGACTTCCCCTAGTCTTGACTGTCTGCCCCGAGCATCTACAAGTGGCTGGTTCTGGGGCCGGAGCCGGCTCCTCCCATGGCAGAGCTGCTGCCTGGGCTCCGAGGGGAGCCTGCAGCCCTGACCTGTCTGTCAGTTATACGAGCGGAGGAAAGGCTCAGATGGCAGCAAGGTACGAGGCTGAAGTTGAAGTCCCAGGCGCTGGGTTAGAGCTCTTCACGTCTGCCCCACACCTTTACAGGTAGACCCGGGGCTACACCGCAGGGCCCTGGCCATGGTTGGAGGCCTGCATACATTCTCCACTCTGCAGCGTTCCTGTGGGTGCTCTCGACTGTCCGTGCCCACCTGGGACACGCAGGGTGGCGGTGGCCTCTTCCTGCCAGCCCTGCCTGTGGCCAGCCAGTCGGGGCCAGGGAAGCCCCAGCATCTTGCATGTACAGAGCTCCCCGTGGTCAGCTGGGGTGTGGAGGTTGGCAGGGTCTGAGCCGCCGCTCCCATCTCTCTGATTGGCCGAGAATCAGGCCGGGTCACAACCACGCTGCCATCACAAACCTGGGCTTTTGTTCTCCTGGTTACGATAGAACCTCACTGCTTGGCCTCGCTCGGGGGTGCCACCTCCCCGCACCGTGTTTGGGTCTGCAAACGTCTGTGTTGTGCCGGCCCCACTTCCCGTGGCTGTATTGGGCCCACATCGTGGCTGTCCACGCATGGGTCACTCTTCAGAACATTGTCGTGGCCAAGCTGTCAGAGCCCAGTAGCAACTAGTCGGCCCCCACGAGTGGTTGGTTGGTGGGCAGAAGGCTGCCAGTGGCTGAGTCCCTTGGCACACCTGCCTCCCAGCGTGTGCCCCAAGCGCCCACCTGGGAGCAAATGGCATGTGCCTGAGCTCCCTCCACCGCCCAGGCCTTCCCTCCCGGGCCTGAGAGCAGTGGTTGGAGAGTCGTCCTGAGCTGGTGGCGCTTGGCTTGAGCAGCTTTCCCGACAGCCACTCACCTGGGTGGCTGGGCAACGGGGGTGAGTGAGTGGAGCAGGCCCTGCTGGGGCTTGACAGGTGCCCTCCAGAGCCTGCCGTGGCTGGGAGAGGTGGGGGTCCCCAAGTGACTGGCCTGCCTCTCTGTTGTGCGTCCTCACTGCAGTTGTCGCCTGGTTGGGCCCGGAAATGGGACGTCGCGCCTCCTCGGGGAGTGTAGAAGCAGCCAGGGCCTCTCCAAGCCGCTGCTGTGACAGAAAGTGAGCGAGCTGCCAGAGGATGTCCACCACCACGACAGTCGCCCCCGCGGGGATCCCGGCACCCCCGGGGCCTGTGAACCCACCGCCCCCGGAGGTCTCCAACCCCAGCAAGCCCGGCCGCAAGACCAACCAGCTGCAGTACATGCAGAATGTGGTGGTGAAGACGCTCTGGAAACACCAGTTCGCCTGGCCCTTCTACCAGCCCGTGGACGCAATCAAACTGAACCTGCCGGTGCGTAGCTGCTGCCTCCCCAAGAGCCACGTTCTGCTGCTGCCGTCCTCTGTCCCCCTCGTGCTGCCCCCACTCCTGGAAAGACTGCCACTCTGCCCTTAGGAAGGTGCTGCTAAGCTGGGGACAGCCTGTGCCTCAGGAAGCCCACAGCACGAAGGCACACAGCGGTCACGTGGGCGTGGGAGAGTTGAGGGCGGCTGCCCCAGGTGCAGGAAATAGGGAGAAGCCACGCGCGTCTGGGAGGAAAGCAGGTGGACGGTGATGGGGCTTAGGAGTCGAGGTTCACTGGGGCCTTCTTCTGCCTCACTGGCTCCTGCAGGATGGCCCATCTGCCAGCTTGGCAAGCTCACTTGGAGTTAGAGGCAGAGATGTTGAGGCCTGCCTTCCGGGCGATGGTGCCCTCAGCTGCATGCTCGTTTTTGACCTGGGCCCAAATAGACAAACCCTGAGCATTGCAGAGGAAGCCCTGGGCTGGTGCTTGGTGGTCTGGGCTCTAGGCTCTGCGAGGCCCTGGTCACCTGCAGGTTTATACCCCGGAAGGTTTGGCCCCATCTCCAGTATGTAGACCTGTCCTGGGGTCTGCCCTAGCCCTGTGGGCTCCCCTCTGCACATGCTTGGGGTCCGGAGAGAGGTTAGGCAGGAGTTTGGAGCTGGCCAAGTGCCCACCTCACCATAGCCCACTGCTGTCAGAGATCAGAAAGTGCCTCTGGGCCAGCCCCAGTCCTCAGTCCACTTGGGAAGGCCAGGCTGTGTCCTCTTGGGAATTGCGAAAATAATTATGTAGAATCTTTCGGTAATGCCTCTGAAAATCTCTTTCCTAGGATTATCATAAAATAATAAAAAACCCAATGGATATGGGGACTATTAAGAAGAGACTAGAAAATAATTATTATTGGAGTGCAAGCGAATGTATGCAGGACTTCAACACCATGTTTACAAATTGTTACATTTATAACAAGGTAAGATGCCAGCCCAGAATGCCGCTTGCAGTAAGGATTCGGGTGCTGTGTGGCGCGGATCCCCTAGCCGTTCTTGCCAGTGCCAGGTGGACCTGGGTGCTTTGCAGCAGCTCTTGGGCAGGCTCAAAGCACATCACCTGGCCAGGTGCCATGGCTCACACCTGTAATCCCAGCACTTTGGGAGGCCGAGGTGGGCGGATCTCTTGAGCTCAGGAGTTTGAGATCAACCTGTGCAACATGGTAAAACCCCATCTCTACTAAAAATACAAAAAAATTAGCTGGGTGTGGTGGCAGGCACCTGTAATCCCATCTACTTGGAAGGCTAAGGCAGGAGAATCAGTTAAACCTGGGAGGTGGAGGTTGCAGTGAGCCGAAATCGTGCCACTACACTCCAGCCTGGGTGACAGAGCAAGATTTCATCTGAAAAAAAAAAAAAAATGTATATGTATGTATGTATACGTATGTGTGTATATGTTATATATATTCATTTGGTTCTCTCCTGTGCTGCCAAATGTTAAATTTTAAGTATTTTTTTGAGCTACAACTAATAATGTCCTTTGCAAGCACACAGCTCCTTTCCTGACCGGTGACCTGGACTCTCTGTGTCTTCAGCCCACAGATGACATTGTGCTAATGGCCCAAGCCTTAGAGAAAATTTTTCTACAAAAAGTGGCCCAGATGCCCCAAGAGGAAGTTGAATTATTACCCCCTGCTCCAAAGGGCAAAGGCCGGAAGCCGTCTGCGGGAGTCCAGAGCGCAGGTACAGGGAGCCAGGGTGGGCAAGGGGCGGGGCCTCTGTGTAGCGGCCCACCGATGGATGGGCTGGGACGCAAGTCCCTTAGCCATCTGAGCTGTTTCCCGTCTGTCGTGAAGAGCTCATGGGTGCTGGGTCTTGGCTGAGTGTGGCCTGTGGGTGATGTTGGAGGGGCAGCTAGCCCAGGGATACAGAAGATATTAATGCTGGAGCTGCTTTTGAGCCCACTCTGGGGAGGAGCTCATGGTCTGGGAGGATCGCCTGTCCCTGCTCTTCACCTCCCAAATCCTGCTCCCCCTTCCAGCTCCAGCCCTGAAGTCACTTCTTCCATGACGCCTGGGGGCTGTGCCCCTCCTAGGACTTTGTCTCTTCAGCACTCATTTTATTCTCTGTGACCTGAGAGTCACTGTCACCTGCCTGGCTCCCTGGTCAAGTAAGACCGCCTCTCCGTGTTGGGGAGCACGGTGGTGATTAGTGCTGTGAGCCCTGGGATCCCACCTGGCCTGGAAACCCGGCCCGCAGGCGTGTCCAGATGGAAAGGCTGACCGAGTGGGATGGTCAGTGCCATGTGCTGTCCCGTGTTGCAGATGGGAGAAGCTGGGGGCTTAAGTACGGCCACAGCCTTGGTCACTCAGCTAGTTACTGAGGGAACCGAGTTCGGTACCAGCTTTCTGTGACTCCAGGGTGGCCCTTGACTGCCAGGCCATGGGACTGCCCTGGCTTCCTTGTTCTGCCTCCTATGGTCTGTGGCGGGGGTCTCCCCTTCATGCGGGGAGCCCTTAGCCAAGATGAGCCAGAGCAGGGCTGCCCCCAAGATGCAGGGTCGGGGGCATCTCAGCATGGAGGGCTCTTCTGGCTGGGGGTTTTGGCAGCACAGAGCTGGCCCCCATGTTCTGGCTGGAGGGGTGGCACTGGAAGCTTCTGGAAATACTAGTAGAGCCCGGCATGCCAAATGTCCCTTCCTTGTCTTGAAGGTACGCAGCAAGTGGCGGCCGTGTCCTCTGTCTCCCCAGCGACCCCCTTTCAGAGCGTGCCCCCCACTGTCTCCCAGACGCCCGTCATCGCTGCCACCCCTGTACCAACCATCACTGCAAACGTCACGTCGGTCCCAGTCCCCCCAGCTGCCGCCCCACCTCCTCCTGCCACACCCATCGTCCCTGTGGTCCCTCCTACGCCGCCTGTCGTCAAGGTGAGCACCCTGAGTCCGGACGGCTGGGGCGTCCGAGCCCAGCCAGGGTTCCTGAGGTCAGGGCAGGAGCGGCGGGCGGGGGGCTCCCGTCTTTCCCTAAGTGCCGGCTCCTGGGAGTGGCTCTCTCCGCGCCCTGGGAGGTCAGGCCGTTGTTCCTGACGCAGATGAGGAGACCTAGGCCTGGGGAGCTGAAGGTCACACAGCTGGTAAGGGAGGGCCTGGCTGAACTTGAACCCCAGCTTCTCTGGCCAGAAGCCCTGGCCAAGGGCTCGGTCAAGGTGGGGAAGGTGTGGGAGAGAAGCAAGGGTGGGGGGGTCTCAGTCCTCCCCTGCTCACAGCCAGGAGTGTGGTGCCAGCTGTACCCACCTGGGTGCATTGTGAGGTGCCGGCACCCAAGCCGTCCCCGCCTGTGGGCTCCACATGGGAGCATGGGGACCCGCCTATCCTGCTCCCCACTTGGCTGGGAGCTTTTCACAGTGGGCCGTGTTGGTCTCGGCAGGGAGTGGGAGCTCCCTGCAAGATTTGGGGCTAGTGAGGCCTGGCGAGTCTCCTGCTTTGAGCAGGGCCCGTGCCAGGCACTTATGTGTATTATCTTCTTCGATTTGATCCTCACAGCAACCCTCTGGGCAGACAGTATTTCCCCCATCTTACAGATGAGGAAGCGGGCGCTCAAAGGGGTTAAATGGCTCGCCCAAGGTAAAACGCCACCTCCGTTGCTTCCCCTCCCCGTGGCCTTCACTGCCTGCACTTATGGGTGGCCCCCGGCCAAGCCGCCTCCCCAGCGGGGGCTGTTTCTGGAGCATGTCCCATTTGCCACGGCCAGATGAGTCCGTCCCTGCTCCCACCCGCCCTCTGCGGCACGCGCCTGGCGCTTGGCAGCCCGTGGGCGCCTGTCAAGTGTTGTGGATAGCCGGCTCCGGCCCCTGCCAGTCCGAGGGCGGCGGCTTGGCTGGGCAGTGACTGTGGGTGGCTCTCTAGACGGCAGGTGCCGTGGGCTGGCTCCTCTCCTGCTGGGCTAAGATTAGAAGCCGGCTGAGCTGGTCTCAGGGTGCACACTGAGCCCTGGCCCCGGAACGCTGAGGTGATGCCCATGGGTGCTGGGTGCTGAGGCCCTTGCAGGCTGCCCAGAGAGACCTGCACACACCCAGGGGGCCTGGACATTAAAAATGAGTGTCTGCCTGGTGCCTGGCTCCGCCCCCAGGTCACACCCATGGAAGGCTCTGTGGGTCGTCTCCCTCCTCTCCTTGCTTGAAATAGCCTTCAGTGGCTCCCATTGCCGCCGGGAGGGAGTCCAGACTCGCCCACTCACCCCCTGAAGTCCCTTGTTCCCAGAGCTGCTGTGGCTGCTTCATGCCTCCTGGTTGGGCTGCCCCTGCCCTGTGTCCGGAATGCTCTCCTGCCTCCTCCTTGTCCCGCAAAACTTGTGTTTGTCTGCGGAGCCCCCGCTGTCAGGCCCTTGTCTGGAACTTTCCTGCTGGTCTCTAAAAGCAGGGAGTTCCCAGGTCTCTGCAGCGCCGAGGTCCCCGGGTCCTGGCCTGGGTGCTTGTTAGGTGTCTGGTGAATTGCATGCAGCACCTCACACGGCTTGGGGTGTGAGGGGCGAGCCCACCCGGGACCCCTGAGCCCTCGGGGCTAAGGGAGAGAGGGGTCTCCCCACGCCCAGGTGAGGGCGGGTTTCAGAGTTGAGCCTGAGGGAGAGTCCCAGCCTCACCACTGCCAGCTGTGTGACCTTGGGCCAGTGACATGGCCCCTGAGCCTTGGTGTCCTCTCCTGTGGGGCCGTGCATGTGGCCGCTTAGCCCAGCGCCAGGCAGGCAGGCAGACAGTGCCCCAGAAACGCGGCTGCAGCGACATGCGTCTTCGGGGCGGCGGCCTGGTTTCCGGGGCTCACTGGTTATTTCACTGTCGCAGAAAAAGGGCGTGAAGCGGAAAGCAGACACAACCACTCCCACGACGTCGGCCATCACTGCCAGCCGTAGTGAGTCACCCCCGCCATTGTCAGACCCCAAGCAGGCCAAAGTGGTGGCCCGGCGGGAGAGTGGCGGCCGCCCCATCAAGCCTCCCAAGAAGGACCTGGAGGACGGCGAGGTGCCCCAGCACGCAGGCAAGAAGGGCAAGCTGTCAGAGCACCTGCGCTACTGCGACAGCATCCTCAGGGAGATGCTGTCCAAGAAGCACGCGGCCTACGCCTGGCCCTTCTACAAGCCGGTGGACGCCGAGGCCCTGGAGCTGCACGACTACCACGACATCATCAAGCACCCGATGGACCTCAGCACTGTGAAAGTACGTGGCCGCGCGGCAGGCCCTGCTCTGCCCACGTCCTGCGGATCTGCCGTGGGTGCTAATGTGCCGGCTGAGTGGGGGCTCTCAGGGAGCAGGGTCTCGCCTGCCGGAGAAGCGCACCCTCCGGGCTGGCCCCTGTGGCCCTGGCTGTGGCTGGCAGGGCCCAGCGAGAAAGGTGTGCCCTGCCCGTGGGTCCCGGAGTCTGTGGCTCTGTTGTTGTTTATTCCCATCAAACCCATTTGGTGATTTAATTGATTTCCTTCCCACCTCCCATTCTGTATCATCAGGTCAGGGGTCCCCTAGATCTGGGCCACTCTCACAGTTGGCTCAAGTTTTAAAGCTACACTTTGCCTCCCTCAAGCCCTGGATACAGGCGCCTCACAGCAGACCGGAGTGAGGCGGCCGGTGGGGATGGCCTGGCTTCTGTCCCTTAAGTGCCTCCAAGCCCCACCCCCTCACCAGACGGAAGCGGGCCCTGGGCGGGTGGCAGAGCTGAGACTGAGAGCCTGGCCTCCCCCACGCCCGTCTTGTCGAGGCGGCAGCCTCTGCCTGGGCTCTTGTGTGCCTTGCAGCAGGTCAGAATGAGTCTGGTCCTGGTGCGGGGTGGCGGGGCGGGTGGGGAGTGGCATTTGAGCTGCGCCGCCCCAAGGCAGGGTGAACTCCACCAGGTCTTCCCTGAGCGCCTTTCCAAACTTCTGGCTGGCACCTGGTCTCCCTCTGGGAGAGCTCTGAGCCAGCTCCCAGGGACATGCAGGCGGTGGAGGTGTGGCCAGCCTCCTCTGCCAACTGCTGGTGGCCCTGGGAAGAGCTGCTGGGAGCCCTGTTGGGCAGTTTTTTGTTTTCATCCTGGAAAGCCAGTTGCAGTTATTCTGCACCCCCTGAACCAGGATCCTCTGATGAAAGCCTTTTCTTCCCTGGTTGACTGGATCTCGGCCGGGACAGACCTGGCTGGCTCAGGCCCCAGTGCCGGGTGCACAGTCAGGCGAAAGCCATGAGCGCGGCCGCCTGGCTTCACTGCCGTGGGTGGGGAAGCTGAGGGCCGGAGCCACGCGGCTCAGAAGCTGCCAGGAGCGTCGGCTCCAGCCTCCAGGGCCAGGGTTTGTGTGCCTCTACCACAGCACAGTAACAGGAATTTCTGGAACATCACTGGGGGTTCCAGCGTTTGTGCCAGACTGAAGCTCAGCTTAATTCCGTTTTGGTCGAAGGGTCTGATTTGCCCTTGAAACCATAATAAAGAAGCTCTAGAAAACCAGTTCACTTTAAAGTTGTGATCTGCTTTGTTCGGAGCTTCCCACCTCTGTCTGTCCTGGCGTGGGGAGAAGCAGGTGCCGTGGCAGCACCTGCTGCCTGTGAGTGTGGCCCAGACGCTGCAGGGAAAGGGCAGTGAATCAGCAAGAGAGGCCTCAGGACTTGGGGATGGTTTGCCCTGGCACATGCTAAAACAGAAAACAAGCTTTTCTCCCAACATCAGAGGCTTTCAGGTCCCTCTGTGCTCCCGGGTTCTTTCTGCCAGCCCTTCCTTCTGGATGGGTCTCATGTCCGAATGCACAGGGTACAGGCCGTGAATTGGCGGGCGCCCTCTGCGGGTTAGGACCCAGCCCCTCCATCTCACTGGCACCTGGGTGAATGCAGCCTGGACCCCATGGAGTGGTCGGGGTAGATTCGCCCTGCCCTTGCGTGTGTCCTCCCTCGAGGTCCCTGACAAGGTCCCTCTCCTTGAAGCCGTCCCGGGATGGGAAACCCACTCCCTCCGGCACAGTGTGACCTCTTTTTGCCCCAACTGGTGTGTTCCTAGTGGCCACCTTGGAAACATCCGTCGACGATCCTGCCTCTGGCCGCTCCCTGGCCAAGCCACCTGCACCTCCCAGCTCTGGGGACTGACTGTGTGCCCCTCCTCACCCCTGCCACCTGGGACTGTCTGCCCAGGCCTTGGCCTCAGTTCTCCGCTTGCCAAAGCCAGGTGGGACCTGCGGTGGGTTTTGCTCTAGGGTCTCTGTGTGGCCGAGTAAACGTGGGTGGGTGTCAGCCCACACGCCCCCATTGCCTCCACTGCTGTGGCTTTCAGGAACTGCCACTGGACACAACATGGAGTCCCTTAGGTCCAGCTAGGCCCCTGAGATACCAGGGTGCTTCTGTAAGACGCAAGCTGGCTAACAGCTGCTGGCTTCCTCAAGGGAGAAATAACATTTCCTTGTGTAGACTGAGCAGGCCCCTGTCGTTGGTGGAATCTGACTTTGCTGCAGCCTCACGCCGCCCCGGGGCTGCCTATGGCATGTCGGCGTGTGAAGATTTACCCACTTTGTGTGAAGGGACGCTCTGGACAAGGAAGGGGCTAAGGGACACCCGCGGGAACCCGGGATTTCTCCTTGAGCGCCTTTTTCTTCCAACCGGGAGATCTGTCTCTGGAGTCCCAGACCCTCCCTGCCAAGCCATCGAGTCACCCTCTCATGTCCTCACTTTGAGCTTCCTTGTGTGAGGTGCCGGAGAGCTGGGGTGTGCTGCTGGCCAGGCCGGTAGGCACTGTCCTGGGGCTGGCAGTGGCTCCTGCTCCGGGGTTCATCTCGTGGGGTGTGGCAGAGTCCTGAGGCCACAGGCCACGCTCACTGACCCCTGTCCTGTGTGTTGCAGAGGAAGATGGATGGCCGAGAGTACCCAGACGCACAGGGTTTTGCTGCTGATGTCCGGCTGATGTTCTCAAACTGCTACAAATACAATCCCCCAGACCACGAGGTGGTGGCCATGGCCCGGAAGCTCCAGGTAACCCGAGGTTGGGCACAGGTGGGGCGGCTCAGCTCGGCGCTGTGGGCATCCTGGCCTCGGTGTGGGGTGGGGTGCCCAGGTAATTGTCCAGCTGAGAAAGGCCTCAGCCTCATTCCCTCAACACGTTTTTCCCGAGTGCCAACCAGGTCCTGCCAGGCTCTGAGCTGGGTTCCAGGAGCTGCCACTGGGGCAGGGCAGCCGGTGAGCAGGCAGGACCGCTGGGACTCTGTGGGGGTGTCGCAGCAGTGAGCCTTTCCCTCCAGGGGCTGGCGCATGTACCAGGTGGGAGGGCAGATGCCCTTTCTCCTGTGGCTTCACTGACTGTCGTTTCCAGCAAGTCTCTGTGGCAAGGAGAGGCTTGGACACTAGCCTGACAGTGCAGCCGGAGGATGAATTAGATGACAGTGGCTTGTGTAGCGTTTTGCTTTTCTGACAACAGAAGTAAAAGGCGGATTGGAGAAAATGCAGGAAGCAGTGGGATGTCTTAAGGGAAAACAGGAGTGTCTTGGTCTGGCTCTCAGCACAGGGGCTTTGTGAACATGCACAGACCTCACAGAGAGATTTGTGTGTGTGGACGTGTGTGCGTGTGTGGACCTGTGTGCGTGCACGTGTGTGCATGTATGGACCTGTGTGCGTGCTCCTGCCTGCATGTACATTTTTCTGCCAAAGTCCAGGTCCTGCACACATATTTTGGTGTGGGTGGATGCGCCAGAATCTATTATTACCTTTTCTAATTGTGATCGCAGGTGGTTTGCTTTTATCAATAACAGCACCCCTGTTATAAATGTTATTTAATCAAAGGACTTGATTTTGGGAGGAAAGGGGAGAATTATGGGTACGTGTTCTCTTCCAGCATGCTTTTCCTTTTCACGGGACCCAGAATGTCGTGTAAGATGTTCACAGTCCTTGCACAGACTGTTTTGAAATCCCCGAGCAGCCCGTGGTATTATTGCAGATGACACAGGACCCATAAAAGGGGCAGAGAGAGAAACTCGTTCCTGCCCTGCGGGTCCTGCTGCCTTTCCCACCCTCCCGTGCACACGGCCCGCCCAAGGTCCTCTCCCAGGCACTGCTGCCATTGCCACCCTCTCTCTGCACTGAGTCCTGCGGGGGATGATGGCAGAGTGGTCCTGGAGGTCCCATTACATCCAGAGGAAGCCATCAGAACCCCAGTTTTATACGGAGACCTTGCTCACTGTGTCTTGAACCCAAAAGACCTTGCAAAGCTCAGTCTCCTGGAGCCTGGTAAATGCTGGGTTGAGTTTAACGAGGGAGCTGAGCATAGAGGACGGAAACCCAGGCTTGCAGACCAAGCAGGGACGCCGGCAGCTCTGCCCCCCCCACTCCTGCAACAGGTGCTGTTGGATAGACATGGTGCTCAACGCCTGTAATCCCAGCACTTTGGGAGGCGGAGGTGGGAGGATCATTTGAGGCCAGGAGTTTGAGACGAGCTGTCTCTGCAACAGATTTTCTTTTTTTTTTTTTTTGAGACAGAGTCTCGCTTTGTCGCCCAGGCTGGAGTGTAGTGGCCGGATCTCGGCTCACTGCAAGCTCCGCCCCCCCGGGTTCACGCCATTCTCCTGCCTCAGCCTCCCTAGAAGCTGGGACTACAGGCGCCCACCGCCTCGCCTGGCTAATTTTTTGCATTTTTAGTAGAGACGGGGTTTCACCGTGTTAGCCAGGATGGTCTCGATCTCCTGACCTCGTGATCCGCCCGCCTCGGCCTCCCAAAGTGCTGGGATTACAGGTGTGAGCCACCGCGCCTGGCCTCTACAACAGATTTTCAAAACGAGCCACATGTGGTGGTGTGTCCCTAGTACCAGCTACTCAGGAGAGTGAGATGGGAGGATCACCTGAGCCCAGGCGTTTGAGACTGCAGTGAGCTGTGATTGCACTGAACTCCAGCCTGGGCAACAGAGTGAGACCCTGAGGCTGATGGATTTCCATGACTGAGCACTATTTAGCAATTGTACCATTTTATCAATTGAGCTGTGGGGTTAGAGCCCAACAGCAAAATGACCTGACCTGAATGACCTTCAAGGTTGTCAACCGAATGGGGGCCTGGATGGCTGCTCTGTGGGTTGGGTTGCCTCTGGGGACATCTGAGAGGAGAGCCCGGGATATGAGAGCCTGGGGTGGGCTTTTCCAGAGCTGGGTCCAGCCTGAACAGTGGAGGCACATCACGTGTGCAGACGGTGTGGATTCAGGTTTCTGAGCTTGGCAGAGAAATCTCCCCTCATTTCCGCATCACTGTGCATCCCTGTCTTCACTGAGCCTGGGCTGCCCCAGGGAGGGGGACGTTTGCTGAGAGGGGCTACTGAGGGCCTAGGTCCTGGTCCAAAGGCTTTCCAAAGTCAATTTTGATAGGAAGTTCGGGTGTGATGGCTCACGCCTGTAATCTCAGCACCTTGGGAGGCCAGGGTGGGAGGATCACTTGAGCTCAGGGGTTCAAGACCAGCCTGGGGAACAGAGCAGAACCCTGTCCCTACAGAAAATAAAGTAGGCTGGGCGTGGTGGCTCACACCTGTAATCCCAGCACTTTAGGAGGCCCAGACAGATCACAAGGTCAGGAGTTCGAGAATAGGCTGGCCAACATGGTGAAACTCCGGCTCTACTAAAAATACAAAAAATTAGCTGGGAGTGGTGGTACGCACCTGTGATCCCAGCTACTTGGGAAGCTGAGGCAGGAGAATCACTTGAAACCAGGGTGTGGAGGATGCAGTGAGCTGAGATCATGCCATTGCACTCCAGCCTGGGCAAAAGAGCAAGACTCTGTCTCGAGAGAAAAAAAAAATAGTAAAATATATATATATAAAACAAAATATTTACATATATATTTATATTTGCGACAGGGTCTCACTCTGTCACCCAGGCTGGAGTGCAATGGCATGATTTCAGCTCGCTGCAGCCTCGACCTCCTGGGTTCAAGTAATCCACCCATCACAGCCTCCTGAGCAGCTAGGATCACAGGCGTGTGCCGCCATGACTGGCTAATTTTTATATTTTTTTGTAAATAAAATATTGATAGGACTAGACTTTGGCCTTTTGGACCAACTTTTGGAGTTAACGCTTCATGAGATATGATGCTCCAGTCAGTTCCGGGGTGAAGAGATGGGAAGAGGTCAACACTCGGACTCCTGTGGCTGTGGAGGACCCTGTCCAAGCTCAAAGGAAGACTCTCTTTCCCATTTCACAGCAGCGGCAGCCCCGGGGAGCTTCGGGCCAGCAGGCTAGAAGGATGCGTGCATCTTCTAGAGAGGGCTCATGGAGTTGGTGAAGGGAGCTGTGGGCCAGCTCCTGTGTCCCCTGCTCCCAGGCCTGTCCCCAGGAATTGCCTGGGGAGGGAGGGAGGGCGAGTTGGAAGCGACCACAGCCCCCCAGGGCAGGCAGGACCCTGTCTCCTCCTGGCCCGACCTTCCTAACAGCTGTGTGTGCTGCCCCAGGGGCACTTCAGGAACCCTGAGGGCCCACACCAAGGGGCAGCCCCATGGGGGTCCATGTCTTCAGGGCAACCTCTGTTCTCCCGCAGGACGTGTTTGAGATGAGGTTTGCCAAGATGCCGGATGAGCCCGTGGAGGCGCCGGCACTGCCTGCCCCCGCGGCCCCCGTGGTGAGCAAGGGTGCTGAGAGCAGCCGTAGCAGCGAGGAAAGCTCTTCGGATTCAGGCAGCTCGGACTCAGAGGAGGAGCGGGCCACCAGGCTGGCAGAGCTGCAGGAGCAGGTGGGCACTGGCATACCTGGGTAGGGTTCAGGGGCTGAGGCAGGATTGCTGGCATGGCAGCCCAAGGTCTGTCCCTTTGCATGGTTCCCTCCTCTGCCCTGTGTCCCACGGCAGCCGCCGCAGTGCTTCCTCGTAAAGGCACTCGGAGTGCCCTCCCCAGGTCTGTTCTGGCGTGGTGCCAGCCTAACCCACAGCACACATGGGTGGCTGTGCTGACTCGTGGCTGGGATGTTTCTGGAGACCTGGCGGGCCTCAGGTGGGAGCTCAGTGGTCATGTCTGGTTATGTGTGCCTTGCTCTGCTTGAGAAAGGCCTGTGAGGCACTTGCAGAGGCTGCAGTAGTGCTTGGGCTCCAAGCAGTCACTTGCAGTGGGGTGGGGTGCGGGCTCCAGGGTCCTGAGGGCCCTGCCGTGCAGCTGCCCAGCCCCAACCCAGCCCAGCCCAGCCCCAGCCCAGCCCAGCCGCCAGGCTGTGGTTCCTCCCCCTTCTCTGCCTCGCTTTCCTCGTGTGCAGTATGGGACAGATGTCGCCCCCTCTGAGCCGTCTTGAGGTCAAATTGAGAAAGATGTGAATTGTTTCCCCAAACCTCTGGCAGCCAGCCAGGTGCATGATTTCTGGGACCCCAGATTGAGAGAAAATAGAGCAGGGCCGTCGAGTCAGGAGGGGAACAGCATGAATCAGGGCTGCAAGGACAGCGATGGCCCTGCAGTCCCCAGAGCTGGGCCGGACATTTGATTTTGAAGTGGCAAGGACACACAGCGGGGCAGACGTCTGTGAGCTGGCAGCTCCTCCACCCACCCACTGTCTTCCTTGCACAGACCACCCAGAGGCAGGGACAGGCTGTGTCCTCACCTGGGCAGTGCCTCTCCTCTCCCATGGGGTGGCTGCAGTGGGGAGGGCGAGGCGCTTGGCACACTGCCAGCTGCAGGGCGGCCCCGGATGAATGCTGGCTGTTGGCAGTGGTTGGTTTTAACCCCGGAGACCTGCGTGTTATCAAATGGCTTCCCAGAAGTTACTGATGAAAATCTCCTTTGTGCGGGCATGCAAACTTCTAGAGAGTCCTTCGTCATCTAAACAGTGGTGATAAAAATGTGAGCTGCCCACCTAATGTAGATGACGGGTTCATGGCTGCAGCAAAGCACCGTGGCACATGTATACCTATGTAACAGACCTGCACGTTCTGCACATGTATCCCAGAACTTAAAGTAGAATAAGTTCTTTTTAAAAAGTTAGCTGCCCTTAGCTGCCCTGTTGTGCCGCCTGTGCAGTGCTGAACCTGTGGCCAGGCATCTCTTCCCCACTGCAGGTGAGGAAGCCGAGGCGGAGAGGACTCATGACTCACTAGGGGTCACAGGGGAGTGAGGGGCAGAGCAGGGCCCGGGTGCTCCTGGTTCACCTCCGTGCCCAGTGGAGGCAGCTCCGACATTGCCCCAAGCCCCCTCCCATCCAGGGCCCCAGGCAGCCCCAGTGGTGGGGGCTGTGCCCGACGCCTGCTCAGCTGCCTGCTCTTTTCCAGCTGAAGGCCGTGCACGAGCAGCTGGCCGCCCTGTCTCAGGCCCCCGTAAACAAACCAAAGAAGAAGAAGGAGAAGAAGGAGAAGGAGAAGAAGAAGAAGGATAAGGAGAAGGAGAAGGAGAAGCACAAGGTGAAGGCCGAGGAAGAGAAGAAGGCCAAGGTGGCTCCGCCTGCCAAGCAGGCCCAGCAGAAGAAGGCTCCTGCTAAGAAGGCCAACAGCACGACCGTGGCCGGCAGGTGGGCTCCAGACCTGCTCAGGCTCCAAGAGCCCGGCGCTCAGTGTGCTATGGGGGCTTACGTAGCAGCAGTGCTGGGATTGGGGGCATTGTGCCTTGGCCACCTGGAAACCAGGGTGATGAGGGCGGGGAGACTGAGGACCTGATGAGACCTATGCTGGGAAGTCCGGGGGCTCAGGTGGTGCTGCTCAGCTGTCTGCAGGGCAGGCCTGGATTCTGGGCATGGAAGTGCTGCCACGGCCTGGTCTCCACATCTTGAAGCTTTTGGGATGTTTTCCTGGTCTGGGCCAAGGATCTTGACTTGGGGGAGTTGAATGCCCCATTTTGGGCTTGCCCATAGGCAGGGAGCAGGGGTGGTGGAATCGTGCACAGCTGCATTCAGCCTCCTTGAGCCCGTGCTGTGGCTGGACACCACCCTGAAGAGTGTCTGCTGGGGACATGCAGGAGCCACAAAGCAATATGAGCTAGTAGGGAAGGAGCTCAGGCCTAGGATTCCTCTGCCAGCCAGGTAGAAGGGAGGCTTCCCGGGGCGGGAGGCAACAGCTGTGTGGGAGCAAGCTTGGCAGCCGAGGGCTGGGGAGGGAGTTCCAACAACAGGGAACAGTGGGTACAAAGCCGCAGAGGCAGCAGGACGTGTTCCTTTTGGGAATGAGGGCAAATTTGGCACCACTGAAAAAAAACAAGTTGGGAAAAGAGGTGAGTTGAGGCTGCTGAGATCGGCCGGCTTCGTTTGAGGTATTCACACTTCCTTTCCAAGCAGATGAAGGGGAGTTAGGATTTAAACTCAGCATGGTCGGATCTTTGCAGCTATGGAGAAGAGCTTAGTGGGAATCTGGAATGGAAGACAGGATACCTACCCCTTTGGAGGTTATCGTGGTTGTGCAGGCAAGATAAATTGGTGTGGCTCTGGAGACAGAATAACTTGGGAGGCGGCATGGCCAGGTCCTGGTGCTTGGAGGGGAGAGGAGAGGAGCCTGGGGGTCCTGGGTTTGCGCTTGGACGGCTGGGTCAGCCATTGATGGAGACAGTGAGTGGAATGGTCAGGGTAGGTCTTTCCTTCCCTTCTTTTCTCCCTCCTTCTTTCCTTTTTGGAGGGGGATGCAAAAATCCATTTTTCTTGTACAGGTTGAGTATCCTTTATCTAAAATAAGGGTGTTTCTAGAATAAAAAGTGCTTCAGATTTTGAATTTTTTCAGATTGTGGAATTTTTGCATTATACTCCCCACTGAGCATCTCAAATCTGAAAATCTGAAATGCTCCAGTGAGCATATCCTTTGAGCGTCACGTTAAGACTCAGACAGTTTCAGATTTTGGAGCATTTTGGATTTTTGGTTTTGGGATACCCAGCCTGTACTATCTTTGTCTGGTTTTAGTATCATTATAATGCTGGCCTGAAAAACGAGTTGGGGCCAGGTGTGGTGGCTCCCACCTGTAATCCCAGCACTTTGGGAGGCCAAGGCAGGAGGATCACTTGAGCTCAGGAGTTTGAGACCACCATGAGCAACACAGTGGGACTCTTATCTCTTAAAAAAAAAAAAGAAAAAAAAGTCTTGGGATATAATATTTGAGTGATTAGAGGCAATTAAAAAATGATTTAAGGCCGAGTGCAGTGGCTCACACCTGTAATCCCAGAAATTTGGGAGGCTGAGGCAGGCGGATCAGCTGAGGTCAGGAGTTCGAGACTAGCATGGCCAACATGGTAAAACCCTGTCTCTACTAAAAATAGAAAAAATTAGCTGGGTGCGGTGGTGGGCGCCTGTAATCCCAGCTACTCGGGAGGCTGAGATAGGAGAATCGCTTGAACCCAGGAGGCAGTGGTTGCAGTGAGCTAAGATCATGCCACTGCACTCTAACCTGGGCGACAGAGTGAGACTTGGCCTCAGAAAAAAAAAAAAAAAAAAAAGATTTGTTTTCTGGAGTAAATTTATAGAATTGATATTAATACTTAAATGTTTGGTAGGATTCACTAGCAAAACCATCTGAGCCTGGAGTTTTGATTGTTGGAAAGTTTTTAATCATGAATTCAATTATTTTAATAGGTATAGACTTATTAGATTATCAGTTTCTTCTTGAGTGAGTTTTAGAGGTTTATGCCTTTGAAGGCATTAATCCATTCCACTCAGATTGTCAAACTTACGGACATAAGTTTATTGGTTAGTATTTCTCTATTATCCTTTTATTGTCTGTAGGACCTGTAGTGGTGTGTCTTTTTCATTCCTGATATTGGTAATTTGTGTCTTTTTTCTTGGTGAATCTGGATAGAGACTTACCAATTTTATTGATCTTTCAAAGAAACATAATTAGATTTCACTGATTTTTAAAAAAATGTTTTTACTTTTATTTATTTCTCATCTTCACTGTTTCCTTTTGCTTAGACTTGGCTTCTTTTTACAAGGTAGAAGATTAGATTACTGACTTGAAACCTTTTTTTTATTTTAAAAATTTTTTTGGGAAGGGGTCTTGCTCTGTCGCCCAGGCTGGAGTGCAGTGGCACGATCTTGGCTCACTGCAACCTCCGCCTCCCGGGTTCAAGTGATTCTCCTGTCTCAGCATCCCAAGTAGCTGGGATTACAGGTGCCCGCCACCATGGCTGGCTCATTTTTGCTTTCTTAGTAAGGACAGGGTTTTGCCATGTTGGCCAGGCTGGTCTCAAACTCCTGACCTCAGGTGATCCACCCGCCTCGGCCTCCCAAAGTGCTGGGATTACAGGCGTGAGCCACCATGCCCGTCCCTGCATTGTCCTTTTTTCCTGAAAATATTCCTTTTTCTGAAGTTTACTTTGTCTGAAATTAATGTAGCCACCCCAGCTTTCTTTTGACTAATGTTTGCATGGTATATATTTTTTCTCACTTTTTTCCTTTTAACCTACCTAGAACATTATATTTAAAGTGGCATTTGTGTAGACACTATGTAAGTTGGGTCTTGTTTTTTAATCCAACCTGAGTATCTCTTCCTTTTAGTTGGTGTGTTTAGACCATTTATATTTCTTTCTTTTTTTTCTTTTTCTTTTCTTTTCTTTTTTTTTTTTTTTGAGACGGAGTCTTGCTCTGTCGCCCAGGCTGGAGTGCAGTAGCAAGATCTTGGCTCACTGCAACCTCCGCCTCCCTGGTTCAAGCAATTCTCCTGCCTCAGCCTCCCATGTAGCTGGGATTACAGGCGTGTGCCACCTCGCCTGGCTAATTTTTTGTATTTTTAGTAGAGACCGGGTTTCACCCTGTTAGCCAGGATGGTGTCGATCTACTGACCTCATGATCCGCCTGCCTCAGCCTCCCAAAGGACTGGCATTACAGGCGTGAGCCACCGCGCCGGGTCTTTAGACAGTTTATATTTCACGTAATTATTGATATAATTGGATTTTGGTCTATCATTTTATTATTTTATTTTTCCTCTGTGTTTTTTGTTCCTTTGTTCCCCCTTTTTTGCCTTCTTTTGGATTACCTGAATACAGAGATCATTTCTTGACCTGTAGAGTTTGAGACGCCTTTGGGGTGTGGAGAGGAACTAACCTCTGTAATTGTTTTCTGGCCAAGGTCTGGAAACCCCGCAGCTGGGAGCAACTTTTCTAACCTTGGATTGTCTGCCTTGGGGCAGCACTTTGGGAAGAAAGCTTGGTCCCAGAGAACAGCCTGCTGTTGGGAGGAAGGGGTGTGTGCAGTGGGCTCCCAGGGCGGGTAGACAGAGACTCAACGCCATGTTGCTCTGTCTTCTGCCCCAGACAGCTGAAGAAAGGCAGCAAGCAGGCATCTGCCTCCTACGACTCGGAGGAAGAGGAGGAAGGCCTGCCCATGAGCTACGATGAAAAGCGCCAGCTTAGCCTGGACATCAACCGGCTGCCCGGGGAGAAGCTGGGCCGGGTGGTACACATCATCCAGTCTCGGGAGCCCTCGCTCAGGGACTCCAACCCCGACGAAATAGAAATTGACTTTGAGACTCTGAAACCCACCACTTTGCGGGAACTGGAGAGATACGTCAAGTCTTGTTTACAGAAAAAGCAAAGGAAACCGTTCTGTAAGTTGCCTGGGTGGAGCATGCTGCTCGAAGCTCCTCGTCCCTCCTTGGCCTGCCCCTCCTGTCACTCCTCACAGACCCTGTGCAGCGAGCGTGGGCACAGGGCTGTCACACTGTCTTGGCTCCTTGGTCCCACCACAGATGCCCTGAGGATATCTGTGCTCAGCCAGGGCCAGTGGGCTTGTGGCTGAACCCAGGCCTGAGCCCCACCCAGCCAGAGCCCTCTTGCCCTGTTGTCGGGGACATGGGCAGCACTGCGTGCCTTGGCCTTAACCTTGTCCAGGGAACGCGCAACCCTGGGGCTGGACTTCGGCCCCAAACCCCATTCATTCAGGGCCCAGTTAGGGTCCTCACTGCATGCCTTCCTGAGGTTCCCTCCATTTGGGGCCTTGCCTGCAGGTGACCTCTCACGGTCCCTTGCAGGACAGACCGGCTTCTCCTATAACAGGGACACCCTGCCTTTGACTGGAGTCACAAGTCCAGAGGCCTCACAGGACGGACCGTGGGGCACCGGCCCAGGCTTCCCTGAAGTCAGTGGCAGGAACAAATCACTGCTGGGGTCTGCAGGTCTGGCAGAGTAGGAGGGAGGGCAGACCCAAGGTGGCCCTTGTGGCAGCCCCCACAGGCTGTCAAGTGAGTGCAGGGCTCACTTGAACTTGCATGTGGCCTCTCAGGTGTGCATGGGCTTCGCTCGCTCTCAGAGCAAGTCTCCTTTTCCTGGCTGGAATATCTGTGTGGTCACGGTGCGTCTGACCCACGGCAGGTCACCGGGTCGACTTGGCGGGGAGTGACTCAGGAGTGTCAGGCAGTGGAGAGCAGCGGCCCTGGTAAGGCAGGTCCATGAATCAGAGGCTCTGGCCCTGCACATGAGGGACACTGGCCAAACCACATCCTGCCTGAGCACCTGTTGGCACCGTAGGAATGGCCTCTGTCACCTTAGGATCCAGGCTTTGCACACTCTGAGGGCTCAGCAGATGCGGGTGGTGGTGGGTCTGTCTCAACCCAGTCATTTCTGCCACTTAAAGCCCTGATGACAGCTCTGTGTCTCTGTCGGCTCCCAGACCCATGAAAGCTGGGCAGCTGGTGTGGATGCCAGTGTGCAGGGCTGGGGTCTTGGCCACCTGGATGCAGCCCTGGCTCCTGCCCCATCGGTCCCCTCTGCAGTCTGAGTGCCCATTTGTTCCCCGACAGCAGCCAGCGGGAAGAAACAGGCAGCCAAGTCGAAAGAGGAGCTAGCTCAGGAAAAGAAGAAGGAGCTGGAAAAGCGTCTGCAGGACGTCAGCGGGCAGCTGAGCAGCAGCAAGAAACCCGCCCGGAAAGGTACCGCCTGCGGCCGCCATGCCACCTCTCTTTGGTGGGGGTTGGGGGCTGTCAGCAGTAGGGGTTTGAGCATCAAGCAGGCCCACGTCTGAGTGTGGCTCACCTGATGAGCTCCATGTTCGTAGATGAGCTCTTGAGCTCCTGAAACCGCGATTTCCTTGTCTGTCACTCGGGGGTCACACCCCAACCCTGCAGGGAGGTGTGCAATGTGGGGTGTGTGTGAATACACCCCATTCCAGGGCACCATAGACAGGGGACCCCCCAGCAGAGGGCTCTTGTGGGGCTCGACTGGGCAGCCCAGCCCCTAGGCAGTGAGCTTTCTGACTGTTCCCTGGCAGTGGCAGCAGTTCACAGCAGGCTGAGGTAGCAGAGGTGAGAGGCCCAGCCCCTTGCCCTGCGCATTGCCAGGTCTTGTGTTCAGGGGAGCCAGCATTTGAGCCCTTGCCTCCGTTTTTGGACCCTGTTAGAGCACGCATCTCTTTCCCTGGCTTCCAGGACACACATACGGGGGACAGTATGGTCCTGTCTGGACTGGAGCATGTTCTAGCTGGGGGCCACGGCCTTGCGACATGGTTTGCCCAGTGTCGAGACAAGGCCCATGACCCTGCCCACTGAAGGGGTCTGTCTCCTGTAGTCACTCTTGGGACGCCCCAGGCAGAGTAAGCGCTCCAGAAACACCAGCAGCTGGTGTTCCTGTCGTCGCTGCTGGTGACCAAGTGACTGGCGGATGTTTTTGATGGGCAGCCTTTCTCGCATCCATCGTTTCCTGTTAGTAGTCTGCATTCATTTTTTCTGTCTCAAGTATATTCAGGTAGTCTTGTTGACCTGATTAATTTCAATAAATACTGATCAAACGACTGGGCCAGGAAATGGGTGGATCGTGGCATGCGGTGTGGTGGTGTCACACTGGCACGGACGACGTGCCGCCAAGCAGGTCAAGGAGCGGGTGTGCAGAGCGCATCTCCCTGTCCATGTCTCCACAGAGAAACCCGGCTCAGCACCCTCAGGGGGCCCGTCCAGGCTCAGCAGCAGCAGCTCCTCCGAGTCTGGGAGCAGCAGCTCCAGCGGGTCCAGCTCCGACAGCAGCGACTCAGAGTGAACTGGCTTCGGACAGGACAGGACAGATGGATGTCGCACACGCCGAGACTCTGCCGTGCCCCTCTGTGGTTCATATACTACTTTTGTTCCATGGTGTGCAGGTCTGCTTCTTAATTCAGTGTTATGATATCTTCCAGTTTTTGCTTTCATAGGTCAGAGATCTATCTTGTGTGTGCGTTAGACTTGATGAGAAGGTGTGAACTCTGCAGAAAGTCTCTTCTTCATCACTGAATTCAGTCACTTGGAGATGACAACTTCACATGCTAACCCGATGACCCCAGAAAACTGTGTGAGATTCGTACCGAAGAACCTTGTGGAATCCCTTTGCTTAGACCCAACCTGGTCGACAGCTCGAGAAAGCATTTTTTCCAAGGAAATGTCTCGGCCATGGGTACTGTATTTGAAAGCTGTTAGCTTTGTCAACACGCATCGTCCTTGTCATGTGGGCCCTGAGCTCTGACCCTCGTGTCTGACGCGGCCACCTCTTTCTGGAGGGGCTGAGGACAGATGTGCCTGCTTGTGGGGACCAGGCTGGGCCTAAGCGAAGGGTTGTCACAGCCCCAGCCCAGAGCGTGGAGCCCTTGTGGGGGTCGGGTGGGATGTGCGTTCTCCGATCGTGGTGATGTCAGGAGCTCCTCGGAGGGAACAGAGCGGCTGTGTGTGCAGCCTGCAGGTTTCCATACACTGAAGCTTTTACCTCAACTTTAAAAAAAAAAAGAAGAAAAGATTTAAAAAAAAAAAAAAAAAGGAGACTTTTTTTGTAAGGTTCGGCAATTTTCTACGGAAGTCCAGCCCGCTGTGAGTCCCCGCCTGGCTAGCGCCGCCCCTGCTGCTGCTGCTGCTGCGCCCTTGGGAACCACTTCCCAAGCTTTTGTGTATATAAATAGTTATTTATTAACATCATTGGTCATTTTTTTAAAAAAAAAATAAGAAAAAACCGCAGAAGAAATGCATTCACACAATCGCAGAGATGCAGGCCTTGTCAGTGGTGTGCCGGGCCCGGGTCCTGTCTGGCGGCGGCCTGTCGTCTCCAGGTGCTAACTCCTGCCACCGCGCGGTGCTCACCCACATCTGTGTTCGCGCGCTCGCCCCTGGGTTCGCTGGGTTTTTTGGGTTTTTTCTTTGTGGTTTTTTTTTTTTTTTGTATGAAACTTGGAGGCTTACAGGTATAGACAGCTTTCAGCTACAGCACATTCTAATTTTTTATTTTGTTTAGTTCTTTTGTATTCACTTCTGGTCTCTTTAAGACTGTTTTAAAAGAAATCGATTTAGGGAACCCCAGTTATATAATATAAACTTTGTAATCTGAGAGAAAAAATGTATAGTAAATCTAAGTCTTGATTTTTAACTTTCTATTGTAAAAAATAATAATATACAGAGTTTAATAGAAGGTTATGTTTTGGTTTTGTTTTCCCAGAGGCTGCCATATGGCCTTTGAGTGCGGGGATGCCCCACACTGGCCCACCAATGAGCATGGCGGCTTCGGCCAGGAATGCCAGGGTTAGCTTCCCCGGGCTCGTGGGTGGGCATGCCTGCCCCATGCCAGCCTACAGAGGCCTGGCCAGGCCCTCCCCAGCCTGTCTGCCCTCCTCAGGGGTAGAGGAGTCTCTGGGCCCCAGGAGGATTCCCTCCCAGAGACTTGCACGGTGCTCCCTGCTCACGCGTTGTCACAGTTAGCCCGGAAATGACTGAAACCAGGCATTCTCCCGGACCTGGGCGTGGGGGAGCCTCCAGGCAGATGCTGGCTATGGAGCCGTGGTGTCGTCTGTCCTGTATGGTGGCCAGTGCTTTCTGCCAGCACTTCTGGATGGATAGAGGGACTATCATTAATATCCTAATACATGGTGATTTAAAAAAAAACAACAACATAAAATGGATTCAGGGTCCACTGGCCCTTACAGATGTAGGTACACCCTTACTGGAGAGGGGGCTCTGATGAGGAAATGCTGGTCAGTTACTACTTTTTAAATTGCTGGTAAGTCTGACACTTGGTGAGTTTTCAGCCAGTTTGTTAAACTTTTAATTAAGTTTTGTTTATAATAAAAATATAAATGGATTTGAAAGTTTCCATTTTTTAAAGTTACCCTTGTTTTTCAAAGGTATTTTCTAAACAGATCGTTAATGGACTATTTAAACCGAATTTAAGGAATTCACACACGACAGTGGACAGGTCTTCACGCAGGCTGGTTGGTAACGTGCTGCCAGCACAGGGCTGGGTGTTGCGCACACCTTAAGCTGGGGGTGCCTGGGGATGGGGGGCGCTCCTTGAAATGTCCCTCCAGCCACAGGGCAGTGAGGCACGTGCCGCCTGTGTGAGCTGTCAGGAGCAGCCGGCTGTGGGGCAGCGCAGCAGGAGCGTCGTGGGGCCATTCCTTCTCGGCTGGTTCTCTGTGATGGTGGCGTTGGCTCGCCTCTGCTCCTTTCGTCTAGAAAGAAGCCACTGACCCTGACGGCCCACCGAGGGTACACTGAGCAGCCGCATTGGTGCTGTCACTTTTTTAAGGCTTTCTGTCCAGACTTCAACACTGGTTTCTTTTCAGAGTTTTGAAGGATTGATGACTTCCTCAGCGCCCTCGCCGGCAGGCTGAGGGTGACAGTCACGTCCACGTCTTCTGTATTAGAAGGCTGCGGTGATTCAATTAGATTGTCCCGCTGCTGAGACCTGTAGGGCAGCTTCTAACATGCTTTTTTCAAGGGGAGAGGAGCAGTGACAAGTCGTGTGTCGGAATTGGATTTGAGAACGCTCTGAGGGACCCCTGGAGGCCAAGGGGGCGGGCTTCGGGCGTGAACTGAACTCCAGACCCCTTTGTGTCGGGCGGCGTCATCTTGCTTACAAACTGTAAGCCACATTTTCTTTGGTGTTTGTTTTTGTTGTTGTTCTTTTGCAGCACTCACGCCTCTGACAGTCTTTTGGGAAAGAAAACACCCACGTACAGAATTGGTCACATCCAGAGTAGCGCCGTTTCTTCGCACTGGCATAAGGCCTCCGGGAGCGTTTTCCTTTTTATAGTTAAAGTGTTACTTTTCTGTATGATGTGCATGCAAGTTTACCGTAACTTTTCTTAAACTTTTTAGTGCCGTTTCTAGTATATTCCTGTAAATGTCAGTTACTGAAAATGAGTCCAATGTAAGTAGTTTAGCTTGTTTATTGCAATGCTGGCCTCAACACAACAGAATAAAAATGGTAGAAAGTACTCTTTGATGTTTCTGGTAATCATGGACCCTTCTCCTGGGGCATTTGTTTTGTTTTCATAATAAAAAGCAAAAAAAAAAAAAAAAAAAAAAGGACTGTTATTTTGCATTTTCCTGTGCTTTGTGTGGGGGCTCCCAGCCTCTCTCCTGGAGCCTAGAAATGTCTGGAAGCACCTGGTCTGGAACAGCCTTCACTGGTCCACAGTGAGGGTGCTGAGCTCCCCACACTTGACATCCTGTAACTCTTGGCAAAAACACCCAAAGCATCCAAAAGGGGCCCCCAAAAACCATTTAAAGGCAGAATGCAGTGGCTCGTGCCTGTGATCTCAGCACTTTGGGAGGCCGAGGCAGGAGGATGGCCTGAGGCTAGGAGTTTGAGGCTGCAGTAAAGCCGTGATTGCATCACTGCACTCCAGCCTGGACCACATCTCCCAAAAAAATAATAACCAAACCATTAAGTAGCCCTTGTCCTGTGCCCTGGCAGGATGAAGGGAGCATCATTTCTGGCCTCACTAGGAAGCTACGATCCCCTTTACTGAGAGTTCATTGGTTCCCTGGAACAAGCTGCCCTCTTCGAGACGGCCAGGTTCTGTGCTCTTCTGGTCGACCTGGCCACTTGTCCCCTCCCTCTGCACCTCAGTCCATCCTGAAGTGGCTTCCTGTGATGCGCTCAGTCCTAAGGGACATGCAAATAAAATCCCAAAAGCAGATTTTCATAGGTTTAACTGCCAGACTGCAGAGGCTGGCGTGCAGCACGGCTCACTGAAGAATGACAGCTCTGGAACTAGGCCTGGAGGGGACATTCCAGGGGAGAAGATTCTGGCTGGGCCCACGTCTAGGCCTGAGGACCTGTCCAACTCGACCCCAGATGGAGTCAGGGGGCACGGTGTCACTCTTGGCCAGATTGTGACCCTTATCCAGACCAGCCTCCTTGAGGACGGACATGGGGCCTTTTCCGTCCCAGGCAGATGGTGTCTTCCTGCAGCCTAAGCAGCTTAGTGCCAGCTGGCTTGTGCATGGCCCACACGCCCTGACCCCTGCAGAGACTGGCCCTTGAGCACACATCCTCCCAGCGCTGCACATGACCTCAGATCCCATTCTGCGTGTCAGCGCTGCCTCCTATGCTTGGCATCAACCCCGCCACAACCCATCCTCGGGGGAGTCTGTGGTGCGGTGAGAAGGTGGCCCACAGGCATTCCAGATTTGCCTCTGGAGTTTGCTTTCTTCCCAGGCAGGACTTAAACTGAAGAACTAAAAAGATGTAGACAAACCCTACCTAGTGGATGTGTAGTGCTTCCTTGGCAGGCCCGCCTTGCTGTGGGTGTGTCAGCTAGCGGGGCAGGTCCTCCAGCCCCATGCTTACTCACTCTGCAGCTCCATTCTGCAATCCTGGAAGTCTGACTTCAAACCGCCCAGCCGCAGGCTGCAAACAAGCCAGGAATCTCTCAGAAAGGACCCAGGCAGTGCAGGAGGCTGCTGCCGACCAGGCCTCTGGCAGGACGTTTGGGGAATGCACTTTGACCCAGCAGTTCCACTTCTAGGATGTTTGCGAATGAACTTGCACAGTTGCAAAGAGAAGCACAAACTGAGTACAGGCACATTCAGAACATGCTGTTTGCACAGATGACAACTTCGACGCTGTCACTGCCCATCTGTGGACTCACGGGAGAGCTGCGAGTCAGAGGTTAAAAGCATGAAGTGGGCCGGGTGCGGTGGCTCACACCTGTAATCCCAGTACTTTGGGAGGCCGAGGCAGGCGTATCACCTGAGATTGGGAGGTTGGAACCAGCCTAGCCAACATGGTGAAACCCCGTCTCTACTAAAAATACAAAAATTAGCTGGGCGTGGCGGCAGGCACCTGTAATTCCAGCTACTCAGGAGGCTAAGGCAGGAGAATCGCCTGAACCCAGGAGGCAGAGGTTGCAGTGAGCTGAGATTGCACCATTGCACTCCAGCCTGGGCAACACAGTGACTCTGTCTCAAAAAACCAAACAAACAAAAAAGCATGAAGTGAATGCCCAGTCTGTACAGTTGGGCAAGAAAGAAAATGGCAGACACAAGAGGCATGGTACAGGAGGACGCCGTCAGAATCACGTGACCGTGTACGCACACCGAGGAGCTATGGGACATGTCCCCAGCTGCCAGCCAGCTTCTCCCCAGGGAGAGCACTTTTGCTTTGCTTTATGCCTTTCTGTATCGCAGTTTTTAGCAATCAATTAGATATTACTGCTATAAAAAATGGGAAGCCAAGTAGCATATTATGAACAAGGATAAAAATAACATGAGGAAGGGGAGCAGTGTATTAAAGGATGTTTATTTAGAAAATAAAAATTAGCTTTGACAAGAGACACCTGCACATTTGTGTAGCCAAGGAGATGTCAGAGCAGAGGGTGAATCCTTCATGGAGACTGAACACACAGGTGGCCAGCTGTGGCAGCGACCGTGAACACATGTCAGTGGCGGCCTGGGGGCAGAGGCTGAATGCTTTAAGTCTGATGGAGAGCCTGCCTTGCTCAGCCCTGTTACTACATGGAAATCACTGTACGCCACACATGTGCAACTTACAACTCTCAGGTTTCCTGAATGTGTTTTGGAGGCACTGGCCGGTGGGCCGCAAATGCTTGGAAGCTACTATGATGCTTCACACAGGACGATCATTTTGGTAACTCAAAATATAAATGCAGGCTTGGTGCGGTGGCCCACGCCTGTAATCCCAGCACCATGGGAGGTTTGAGCCCAGGAGTGTAAGACCAGCCTGGGCAACATAGGGAAACCCTGTCTCTATACACAGTAGTTCACCTGGAGCCACAGCTACCTGGGAAGCTGAGTTTGGGAAGATCACCTGAGCCCATGAGATCGAACCTACAGTGAGCTGTGATCGTACCACTGCAGTCCAGCCTGGGCAACAGAGTGAGACCCTGTCTCAAAAAGCAAACAACAAAATGTAAGTGCGACAAAGCTCCCAGTGAGATGCTGCTGCTACTCCACCATTTATGCTAAAAACAAAAAACTAAAACCTATACAAACTTGAAAAGGTGGTTTATAACGGGGATGGGAGGGTTACTCGTGGCTTGGTTAAACCAAGCATCTAGCAGTGCCCAGGCCTATGCTGTCCCTAGCAGCACCTGGAGAATTTGAATGTCGAAACAGCTGACTAGTAACTAAGGGGACTCTAGAGGGGAAGTGTCCTGTGCACCAGTCACACCGCGGCTGTGCTGAGGGACTCAGGGGCAGATTCTGTGCTGCTTGGGTTCTTACGCCACGGTTTGATCTTCACATTCATTATTCAAAATCTTCCAGCAAGGATTAGAAATCAAGACAACTGAATGAAACCCATGTCTGTTTTCCTCGAAGAGTGGTCCTGGGCTCAGGTGCTCACATGGGAATTACATGATTGCGCAAAACTTGGACTGCCCTGTGTCCCTGGAGACCTCGAGCTTGTTTTTGTCTCGGACCAAGATGGCCTCATTTCCATACTGTGAGTACCACATGCTTCGGCTCCTGCTCAGGTATGTCCCGGGGGGCACCGACTCCAACTTCTGCTGTTGCTGCTGCCAGATGAGCAAGGAGGTGTCCCTGTACCGGAGGCGGGCGTAGCCTTCAGACAAGGCCTTCTCTGCCAGGGGTACGCGGCCACTCATCCCCTTCCCTGTCCTGCTGGACTCCTGGGAATCCTGCTGTTCGGAGATGGCCCACGAGTGGACAGCTGCCACAGGCTTCGCACTAAATTAACGGACAGCTTTCCCAGCTTTGGGGTTTAAGGATCCCTCGTTTAATTGAATGGTAGAAATTAGGAATTCAGCCCATTTGCAGGCAGCGTCCTCAGGAGGGTTGTGTGGCGAGGAAATGAGGCGGCCTCGCCAT